AACAAGCGGGACTGACCTAGGGTGAATTTTAAATAGGGAATAATTTTTAAAATTTTTTAAAGATTTTAAATATGACACAGCCATTAATATATTTGCTTTTTAATTGGTTTTATAGGGGAAATGTTTTTTTGTGTTGTTTTTTAACATGCTGTGAGCCGCCCTGAGTCCCTCTGGGGAGAAGGGCGGCATAGAAGTTTAATAAATAAATAATAATGTGATCACCTTTTGTCACTTTCTGACAAGGTCAATGTGGAAACCAGATTCACTTAACAACTATGTTATTACCTACAGTGGCTCACTTAACAACTGTGGCAAAAAAGTCACAAAATGCAGCAACTGCCTTCCTTATCAACATAATTTTTTGACTCATTTGTGGTTACAAGTCAAGGACTACCTGTATTTTTCCAATCTTTATTTTCAAAAACAAAATTTCTAGCATTTTTTCACAAATGCAGGATCCATGTTTTTAAACCAATCAAGTGTTGGTCCATTGATTGCAACAGGAACTGACTGAGCCCAACAGGGATTGAGAGAGAATGACTGGTCCCAAAGTCACCCTGCCATTTTTCATGCCTAGAGAATTTAGTCTCTTGGTTTCTAACCTGGTGCCTTAACTACCTGGTCAAACTGGCTCTTTAATTTTTCAAGAACATATGCTAATTATAATATAGATTCCACAACACTGAGCTTTGTAAATTTCACCATACACACATATGATAATTCATTTGATCTATAGATTATGGTGACTGTAGATTTGAAAGAGCTGGATTGAAGCCACTGCTGGAATCAGGAAATAAATAACTTAAATTTAAATTATTGAGTAAGTTGACAGAAAAAAAAAGAAAGCAGCAGACAATTTACTATATCACAATACATAAACGTTTGCAGGACTGCTGTTGAAAAAACATATTTTTTTGGCTCAGTTGTGGTTACAAGTCAAGGACTACCTGTATTTTTCCAATCTTTATTTTCAAAAACTAAATTTCTAGCATTTTTTCACAAATGCAGGATCCATGTTTTTAAACCAATCAAGTGTTGGTCCATTGATTGCAACAGGAACTGACTGAGCCCAACAGGGATTGAGAGAGAATGACTGGACCCAAAGTCACCCCGCCATTTTTCATGCCTAGAGAATTTAGTCTCTTGGTTTCTAACCTTGTGCCTTAACTACCTGGTCAAACTGGCTCTTTAATTTTTCAAGAACATATGCTAATTATAATATAGATTTCACAACACTGAGCTTTGTAAATTTCACCATACATACATATGATAATTCATTTGATCTATAGATTATGGTGATTGTAGATTTGAAAGAGCTGGATTGAAGCCACTGCTGGAATCAGGAAATAAATAACTTAAATTTAAACTATTGAGTAAGTTGACAGAAAAGAAAAGAAAGCAGCAGACAATTTACTATATCACAATACATAAATGTTTGCAGGACTACTGTTGAAAAAACAATCCATTTTTTTTAAGAAGCAATGTCAGTTGGCACGGTAAAAAGCCAAATATTTGATTTCAAGGTTATACCTCTTGGATGGCCAAAAAGAGGACATGTCTTACAGGTAGTCCTCGACTTACAACTATTCACTTAGTGACTGTCTGAAGTTACAACAGCAGTAAAAAAATTAATTATGACCGGTTTTCATTCATAACCATTGTTGTATCTCTATGGTCATGTGATCAAAACTCCAGTGCTTGGCTACTGGCATGGATTTAGGAGAGTTTATTTGTCCCGGAGTCATGTGATCACCATTTGTAATCTTCCCAGCTGGCTTCTGACACGCACACTCAATGGGGGAAGTCCGATTCACTTTATTAATGCATGATTCACTTAACTGCAGTGATTTGCTTAACAACTGTGGCAATAAAGGTTGTAAAATGAGGCACAACTCAATTACTGCCTTGTAGCAATAGAAATTTTGGGCACAATTATGGTCACAGTTCAAGGACTATTTGTACTTTTGATGGACATCTGGTATTCCTATTACTGCTTCAGTTTTCATTCTGGGGTCAGTTTTTAATAAATTCTGTAATAACTAATTATAATTGTATTGCAACTGCTATGAGGGGAGACTATATATTGTTGAGTTATAAGTCACCCGGAATCACCTGTTAGTTGGGCGCCATATACATTTATATAATAAATAAAATAAACCTTGGGACACTTATTCCCAAGTTGCAGCAGTTTTGTTTAGATGGATATGATTTGTTATTTAACTGATGGATGCCAGCTGAAATTATGATGTTCCAAGATCCAAGCCTCCTTGCTTTTGTAATTTTAACACTAATTGAGCACCCAAAATCATGTGCTTTCTAATGAGAATGTTGCTTGCTTGTTCTTGCTAAGTCTGCAGAGATTGGTTGCAGGTGATCCGTCATCTGACAGAATTTAAAATCAGGAAAGTTGGACTTGTCAATTCCTGGCTGAAACCAGCCTAGAGCGTCCTAGACCAATGTTTCTCAACTTGGGCAACTTTGAAGATACATGAACTTCAACTCCCAGAATCCTTCACCAATATGCGTTAATTGGAGAATTTTGGGAGTTGGAATCCTCACATCTTAAAGTTAGCCAGGTTGAGAAATGTTGTCGTGGACAAAATGAATGTTGCAGTTACACCCTACCCCCATTCAGGCGACTAAAGCCGAAAGCGCGGCATCCGTAACCTGTGCCTCTCCCTGGGCTCCGGAGAAACTTTGAAAGCCCTCTCCCCTCCCTTTTGGTCCCGGCGAAGTGGGAGGGGCCGCGAGTCGGCGCTTCCTCCTCGCCTTCCTTTCGTGTGAGTTTAAATGTAGTGCAGAGCAGAGGATCTCGAAAGGAGGAGGGAGCAGAGGAGTTGAGTTTGAGTTCACTGTTTGGACTGAACTTGAGGAGACGCGCCTAAAGGCCTCGGCGAAGACTGACGAGCGCGGTGTGGGTAATGAGACAAGGTGAGGGGGGGGGGCTATGAGGAGCTCGGAAGGGTCTGACCTGAGCAGGCGAGGGGGTCCCGCGAAGCGCCAAGCCGTCAGTGAGACCGCGAGCGGGGAAAGACTGTTGTTGTCGGCCCTACCTTAGTTCTCCAGGGCCCCTTTGGCTGACGGGGGGTGGTTATTGCTCTACTTTTCTTTCTGCCCTCGCCTTAAACTCTCGCTCTCCAGGCCACCAGCTTCTGGGGACTGGATCTAGTAGAGCGTCTTCGGTTTGTTGAAACAGAAACGTTTCTTTGCATGAACGTTCAGAGACGGAGCTTCGTGCCCTTATTGCTGGTACACAGAAAAACGCTGGGCGTTGTTGAGTATAAATATTCCGTCCTTAAAACTTAATTCTCTTCTATTGACAATATTTACTATGGAAAAAATATAAAGGTACCACTTTATATTTTTTAAAATATGTGATCCTCCCCTACGGGGTAGATCAGTGTTTTTTACATACATGCATGCATGCATACATACATACACACATACACACATACACACATACACACACACACACACACACATACATACATACATACATACATACATACATACATACATACAGCGAGCATTCAAGAACCTCTACTGGGCTTCGAAATCAAAATTATTTGCCAGCCTGTGTTGAAAAACAAAGTCGTATTAAAATCCCATTGAAGGGTCGTGAGAAGTGGCGGCAAATGTGGGTCAGTTTAAAATTTTATATGATAAATATCAATGTTAAATAACCCATGCAAACCAAAGCTCTTTTGGAATTTTTCATAATTTTTAAAAGTGGGAAGAGATCCTGAGAGAAAACAGGTTTAAGAAACTTTGTACTGAACTGATTCCCAAAAAGTTCATGAGATCAATTAGGTTAATACTGAGATTGTGTTTTCCAATATGAGACACTCCAAGTGTGTTTTTTTCATCCTAAACCAGGATTGGCGATTAAAGATTAATCTGTCTGGAAGACACAAAGTGGGGGAGCTTTGAATGAATACCAATCTCAGCAGGTGGTTTTTTTTTTTAATGTTTTCACCCTTTACATTGTAATAATGTGGCAGAATAAGTTCAGCTGTAATACCATAGGTGCTTTTTCTAATTCGCCTGGAAAAGCGCACCTGAACTTCTTTTAATGCAGCAGTGAAACTGGGTAGGGCTGTTGAATGCATTGCTGGTAAACAAAGGGAATGGAGAGAATTGGGGCAAAGGTTTCTTCTAATATAAATATTGCTGAAAACACTATGGCACATCCTTTAATTTGAACATGTAGCTCAAATTACTTGGGAACAAAAACCAGAATGTGCACATTCTTACTCTATAGTAATTGCAACTTACAAAATCCATAAAATAGTATTTTGTGCCCCAGCTGTGGCTATAATACAAAACCAGTATGGTTAGATTATTTGATTAAGGTATTTTTATGAATTGCAGCATGTTAAAGCTATTCTGGATAAAGGTAAATGCTATAAAATGGGTGTCAAACTCGCAATGTCACGTGATGTGTCGCGACTTTTTCCCCATTGCCGGAGCTGGGATGCGCACGGTTTTGGCATGACGCATCCGGCCCATGGGCTGCCAGTTTGAAACCCCTGCTTTAAAACATAGTGTGTGTATCTGATCAGGATGCAATGTTTTAGAGGAATAATGCTTTTTTTCAGTAACTGCTCCTAGCATTTCTAGATATTTTTTCTGAATTTTTGGGTTATAGAAAATTATCCATGCTCTGAAACTTTGGCTTACAAAAACAATATTAAATTTGACATACACTCCAGGTTTGAAATTAGGAAGAAAATAAGAGAAAATGGATAGGGGGAATTTAGTAGTTTTAAACCAGCGAGACATAAAGCCTAACTTGGAGGATGCAGAGAATCTGAAATTGTATAATAGAGAAGAACAGGAATAGAGCAATAATGAAAAGAGCAGTTATAGTAAGCCTTTGCAACTCATTAAAAAAAAATAGTGTAAATACTTAAAAGAACTATATTATAAAAATCATAGTTCCTAGCCAATTTTCTGTAGCAGTTTTTATAATATTTACACTAACAGTAGATTGACAGTAAGAAAAATATTTTAAAATTATTTTTAATATATGCAAAAAATAAAGGGAAAAATGAATTCCAAAGACACTTGAAAATGCATTATCAAAGACTATGTTATTTTGCAATTAAATTGTATCTTCATGTAAGTTTATACAAAAATAGGAAAAAAATAGAAAAACAACAGCATATGCAGTTCAAATAGTTAAGTATTCTTCCAGTTAAGACTTTGATAAAATGCTTGTTTAAATATATTTTTGAACCATTGTTCTTATTAATCAAATACTGTGCTATTTGCAGACCTATTGAAATATGATCTCTCATACCTCAGAGATGTGACTTTGAACTTTTAACTATAACAGCAGGATTAATATTGAATTCGATTTTTTTAAAAACGCTGTTTGATTTGTTAATTTGCAAAAGAGGAAAGTTGTATAGTCTTCTAAAATTTTAAAGAATTGCAAGGAGTATATTGTCTGTTTTCTGGAAGCTAATTGTAGATGTAGATGTCTGATCCTACATAGCGCTCTTAATGATGATTGAGTATGATGATTATGTGTGATCAAATAATTTTTGACTCCTAGTGACTACATAGTTAGAATTTTTTTCAAGATGATATATCTCTTACCTGTTCTGCCAAGTCTACCAATAAGGCATTCATTGCCACTGTAACCAAGTCCATATTAAACACTAATAGAAGTAAAGCAAATTTTAATTATTGTATAAAAAAGCTGAACAGGTAGAGGAACTGTATATATATTTAAGTAACAGAATAATCAGAATTGGTTAAACTATGTTTCCCTGGACATGAAAGTTATGCAAACATAAACTAATTTTTCTTCCTCTTTTGCTGTCATACATAAATATACAAGACGTAAAGACTAAAAGATAAGCAATTTGCACTAATACAAATGTCAAAATGAAAAATATTACTTGCCATAGATCAACAGAATGGAAAACCAGTTAACCGATTCTTCTGAAGAACGTATGTTTCAATATCAGAGTTCCTTGCCTTCACTGCCTGTTCCTCCTCTTGATGAATCCCTAACGAAATATCTTGATGCAGGTATGTACATTATGATGCTTTCATTGACTTGAAGATTGCTTTTGATTCTATCTCTAGAGCAGACATGTCAAACTCGTGACGTCACGTGACATTGCGCAATGTATCAGGACGGTTTTGCCATTGCCGGCAATGGGGTGGGCATGGCTTCTGGATGACGTGTCTTGCCTGCCCGCCGGCAGTTTGACACCCCTGCCCTAGTGTATGGTGGGGAGGAAACTAGCAATCTTTTCTATTGATCAGTATTTACTGTGGCTGATAATAATATATGAGAACACTTTCATGTTTCTTAGCTGTACTATCATAAGAAATCCCACTGCTTAATTCCTGTATTGAAGGGTATCAGGAATGTATTCTTGCACAATTTTTATTTAATTTGTATATAGACTCTGCAGTTAAAAACTACGAAAAATGAGTTTCACCCTATGTTAGGTAACAATTCCATCTGCATTCTTTTTATGCTAAGAAATTTTATTTATTTAGATTTTTTAAAGTCCTGTTTTAATATTTTTGTAAGTAACTCAAGAAAGTGAACATTCCTAACCTTCTTTCCTCCTCCTATTTTCCTCACAACAGCAGCCCTGTGAGGTGAGAGAGAGAGTGATTAAGTCCAAAGTCACCCAGCTAGTTTTCATGCCTAAGGAAGAACTATAACTCATAATCTCCTGGTTTCTAGGCTGGGGCTTTAACCATTACCCTTAATAAAGTCATTTTGTCATAGTCTTAAGATTTGCAATGGGAGAGCCTGTGAATCCTTGCAACATATTGTTATAAAAAACTGAAAATTAATTATTTTAAATCTAAGATGGTTTTAATTTCTAACTGTTGTAGCAATTAGTATAAATGGACTAAATTAATGGACTAAAATTTTAGTTTTGCCAAACACAATTTTGTTCCAGCTGTTGCTAAAAGCTGTTAATCAGTGCCCCTATAAAGACACGTATGCTTTATAAGCAATCCTCTCCAAATTTCTAATAACGTCTCTGTGTTCTGTAATATGTGCCTAACACATTCTTTCATTTGGAACTTGGACTTATATCTGTAAAGTCCTGTATGGGAATTTGCTAATTGAAATGCTAGATAAAATAGGATTTCTGGGTAGATTATCATTTCGATTTTAGAAAGCAAACATTCAGTTGTTAAGGAGCTAACTGATATACATGTTCAGGTTACAATGTTTATCTTACAAACCAGTTAAAAAAGAAAAAGCTACAAAAGGCAAATAGGATGACTCAGCGGTTAAAGATGCTGAGTTGTCAGTTAGAAAGCTGACAGCCTGGTTCAAGACATGAGCATCACACGATGGGTGAGCTCCTATTACTTGTCCCACGTCCTGCTTACCTAGCAGTTTAAAAGCATGCAAATGCAAGTAAGTAATAGGTTCCACTTTGGTGGGAAGATAACAGCGTTCTGTGCACCTTTGGCATATATTCATGCTGGCCACTTGGCCATGGAAGCATCTTCAAACAATGCTGGTTCCCTTGGCTAAGAAACAGAGATAAGCACCATCCCCTAGAGCAGTGGTTCTCAACCTTTTTAATGCCGCGACCCCAACCGGTCGTAAGTCGAGGACTAAACCGGTCGTAAGTCGAGGACTAAACCGGTCGTAAGTCGAGGACTTTCCCTGCCCGGGAGCACTGCGCATGCGTGGTTCCGCCCCCTGCGCCGTCCAAGGCGTAGCTGGCAAGCGGCAGAGATGGAGCAGGCCGACCACCAGCTGGCCCAGCCCAAGGGAGGTAAGGCACCCGCCGGAAAAGGGGAAAAAATGGCAGACAAAAAAAATGGCAGACAGCCTTGCTTGGCGACCCCCATGAAATGGTCAATTGACCCCAAATGGGGTCCAGAACCACTGCCCTAGAGTCGGATATGACTGGACAGGAGAAACCTTTACCTTTATGACCTGTAGCTATTTCTGTTTGAGAGCTAGAAATAAATTCCAAATGATATGTGATTTTTAGAAGTTTTGTTTTTTATTTGAAACTTGTTTTATAATAATGATGAAGCCTTAATGCTGCTTGAAGTAAAGAAGTGAATGTGTTTAAAACATATTTTCAACCGTCTATATTGTGCAGTGAAACCTTTCCTAAATGAAGAAGAGTATCAAAGAACTCGGGACATAGTCAGAAGATTTGAGAATGGCATTGGAAAGGAACTGCATAAAAAATTACTTAAAAGAGCTACTTTGAAGAGAAATTGGGTATGTTTTAAAGAAAGCCATTTTTCTCAGTCACTGTGTATAATAATAAGAATATATTGGCAGGGTTCACATATTACATAATATGGGCTTGTTGGTTTGACTTAACATATTTTCTCATGTGTAAGCAGTGCTTTATCTATTATAATATATTAATCCAGCCACTGTAGTTATTGTAATATTTCAGCAAGTCTTGTCTGAGTAGAATCTAATTTTGGTTCTAGTCCCTATGATACTGAATGTCAGAGTAAAAATAATAATAATAGAATCTAATTCAATAGCAAACTTTGCTTTTCTAAATAGCAAATCTCACTAGAAATATTTTTCCTTTGAACAGATCTGAAATTATTTTAAGTTTTACTGTTCTGTAGTGTAGAGTGAAGGGTTGCTGTTTGAACATCATATATGTAACATGTCTTTGCTGTACCAAATGCTTTGTGTTGTGCTTTTAATGTCAGCCATGGAATAGAACCTGAATTTAACAAATAACTATGTTAAGGATTCCTTTTGCTGTTAATTGCTTTTTCAGTTGGAAGAATGGTGGCTGAATGCAATCTATCTTGAAACCCGTTTATCAACACAAATCTATCATAATTTTGGAGGACCAGGCTCTTTTCTTGAACATTATTGGCCAATTAAAGAAGGGACTCAGATAGAAAGAGGATGCATAAATGTTTGGCACACTTTGAAATTCTGCGAACAAATGAGAAAGTAAGAAATATAAAATAACAATGTAGTAATTATAGCTATGTATGGTTATTATGAGATCTTAATATTGCTAATATAATTTATAAGTTTAGAGTAGAATTTTATATCTGATTAATTGGTGCAGGTCTCCAAAAACTCAAATTTATTTTTAACATATATAAAATTACACTATTGAAACTCTTAACAGGGAAAAGAAATCCAAGCACATTACTGTCTTCTTTCAAATTAAAGCTTCTGGAATAAGTGCCACTGCTTATAGTAAAGCATAAACATAACAGCCCGAGAGAATACTGGGCATTTCTGTAGTGCTTTTAAAAGGATAAATAGTTGTGACTTGAGTGCCTTGTCTATGTCACATTATATGGAAAGACATCATAGGCCTTCAGAATATATAGTATTGAAACATATTGAAATATAGCATTTGCTTAGATCAGAGGTTCCCAACCAGGATGCTAGACGATATTTCAGGGGGTGCGAAAACATAGGTTTAGAAATTTCAAAATCATACTGTATATGCACAATTTCCATTATTTTGAACTTTTGTAAGTTGTGTGAGAATATATCAGAAGCATTCTAGGGGTACGGGACATAGAAAAGGTTGGGAACCGGCTTCCAGTTTGCCATCGTGGCGGCCGCTGGAAGGCGAGCTCCATCTTCCGGGTTCGGATTCGCTCCGCTGGGGGACCCTGGAAAGGGTCGAGAGTCGCCCTGTAGGGGCGACAAGCAAGGAGGGGACCCTCACTTGATCACGGGAGGGCGGTAGCCCTGCCGCTCAATCCGGGGCAGCCCTCCAAACCGGTGGATGAAAGACCGGCCATAGAAATATGGCTCGTCACTAGGCTGCAGACAGCCGAAGTCAAACTTGCCACCAGGGACTTCTAAAGCAGTGCGGATGAGACTGGGTGAGATCTGAACCTCTCTTCAATCCTAAGTATTTTCTTCTCCTGTAAAAGTTGCCCAAAATATCTCTCCCCCCCCCCGTGAGGAGAGAGGGAAGGGAACTTCTATCCCACCCTCTAAGAATAGTAGTGGCTGACTGTCCAGGGGAGTTAAAACACTGAAAGAATAACCTTAATCTAACTGGATTTATATGCTTCTAAAATTTGGGGACCAAAAGATTTCTTATCTTTACTGAAGACTTTGGTTTTTATTTACAAAAAAGAAATAAAATTGGAAAAAGGATTATAAAAATTTTGGACTTAAAAAACCTTAAACGGCATTGGTGACATTTTGTGACCAAGTTTGATATTACAATTTGTTATTGTCTAAAGGAGACCTGGTTTGAAGCCCTGACTACAGATAAGACTTTTTCAACCTTAACAAATATCAGCTGTGAGAAGCTCAGCTGTGTTCTATACTCAGTTATAAAATTATTTTCATTCTCTGACTTTAAAGCTCTCAATTTAACACACCATTAAGAGAATATGAATGAAGACCAGGAACAGATTCTTTTTATGTTGAAAGCAATACATAAACCATTCTTTCAGCTTGTGATGAAATAAGATGCTACAGAAAAGAACAAGATGTCAGCCTAGATATACGAACCCAAGTTTTGACTACAATTAAAGAATCAACTACGCAGAACATAACAGAAGAAGTGGAACAATTAAATACTATGATAAAGGATTCAACTGACCAACAAATACAGTCAATGGAAAATCCAGAAAAAGGACTGACAACACTGAAATGGAAAACACTTTCTATATAACCCAGAAGAAACTTGAGGAGCAAGAAGAACAGACCAAAGGGAAGACAAAGATATCAGGACAACTATGGGGATCTGGAATAATAGAGAGACGATTCACTAGCCCTTCCAAAAAAATGGCGACTGGATGGTCTCTTTTATTTCAAATAATATATATAACAACAGAGGGAGATCTATTTGATGACTTAAAAGTACTGACATGGAAGGCGAGCTGGCAAAGGAAGAAAGCCAGAGATTTGGAAATTAGTTGAAAATAAGGATGTTATACTGTATTATTAACTAGATGATGTAAGATGGTGGGAAATAGAATATACTCAAATAGATAAGATATGGATCTTGAATATTAGACTTTGTTATGAATTGTGAAAAAGAAAACTTTGATTACCTAAAACTTGGAAATTATAAATATCAAATGTTAAATTTAAATATTGATGGGAAACTAAAAATTGGGAAAAACTAATTACAGGACATTGATTGTCTATAAAGATTGAATGTTAAAGTAACTAGGATATGTATAAGCTAAAAAATTATTGATAAATGTAACAATGCTATTTTTACTTAATATAATAAGAACTGTATTAGTTCAAATATGAGACAGTAGATATTAAAGGAAAAAGAGAGGAAATATTTGATGTTGTAGCTTCAGATTTGTACTAAAGATTTTTGTATGTTATTGAATTATCGATTAACCCAGCCCCCATGTTGCTTTTTAAATACTTAAATGTAAAAATAGAAAATTAATAATAAAAAAAGGTTGGAAACTGCTGGCTTGGATCTTGGTTATAAATTTATGCTTATCCATGCAGCTTCAATAACTTATATATTAATTATCTTACAGGGAAAAGGTGGCTGTACATAGATCTGGCAATAAGCCCCTGGACATGGATCAGTTTCGAATGCTTTTTTGCACTTGCAAGGTGCCAGGCATTGTTCAAGATTCCATTACTAATTATTTCAAAACAGGTAAATGATATATCTTTATGAATCAAAGAAAGTGGCCACAATGTAGTGTATATAATGTTTATCCCATATATATGGATGATCGACAGGTATATTTAGTTTGCAGTCTAAACCATAAACTTGGGAGTAAAACTTGGGAGTAAAACCTAGTAGAAACCTTAGAAGCAATAGCAACAGCATTTAGGCTTATATACCACTCCATAATTTACAGTGGGCACTGTAAACAAATATAAAATAAGAGTTCATTGGAAATAATTGCTTTCATTACAGTACAGAAGATACAGTTTGGTCCAAGATTTAGTGTGTAGTATGAATATCTGGAGACAAATAGTCTGATTCCTTTTAGTAAGATAGCTGTTGTGAAAAAACTAAAAGGTCTGAAGAATTTTTCACTCTTCAGTAAAAATGCATAGCAGGATAATAATATTTGTGGGTCACAAGCTGCTTTTACACATTTTCCTCTAATCTGTAATGTAGCACAAAAGTGTATTGGCTTAATTTGTTCTGTCCCATTCAAGGTGCTATGGAGAGCATTTTTATATGATGATCTTGCTGGCAGTCTTTGTAGCAATCTTGCCACTCCCTTTCCACAGTGGCTACTGTTCAGTTGAGTGGTGAGTGCCTAGACTTTTTAACAAGAAGTGGCAGTTGCTGATGTCCATTCTTGATTTCATGCCATAGATATTAGCTTCCAGAATCGTTGATGGACATGATTGCAACTGGTCCTATGTATAATCACCAGCACCATGGCAACTAGTGCCTCTAACACTGTAGTGAAGAAGTTCAAGCAGTGAATAAACAATGAGTCTGTAACGTAATAATGGGGCCCTCCAGAAAATTAAAAATAATATAAGAGCATGTCCCTTTGTCAATAAAAGCAGTGGACAAACTGTGCTGCTACATTTCTATGCAGAAAATTAGTCTTAATTTTACTTACCGTATATACTCGAGTATAAGCCGAGTTTTTCAGCCCATTTTTGGGGCTGAAAAATGCCCCCCTCGGCTTNGGCGGCGGGGGTGGGGCGGCGGCCAGGGAGGAACAGCCAAAATGCCCCCTCGGCTTATGCGCGGGTCACCAATTTTTCCCAGTTCTCTGTGGGAAAATCGGTCCCTCGGCTTATACTCGGGTCGACTTATACTCGAGTATATACGGTAATTTAAGTCCTTAATGGTGTATTTGAAACTTCTTTCACTAGGATTGAAGGAAACTCATCTAGTGCAGAAAGTGTATTAATCCAAAGGTTTAGCTGAAAAGTAGCTAACAAGAAAATTTCAAAAATGATTAGAAAAGGAAGTATGCAGTGTACTAAAGGTGCTGACCAGGATTTGAGCATAATGGTTATTGTCTCATAGAGCTCTAAACCCACCAGAGACTGCTGACTTATGATCTCCTCACTGTCTAGAGCAGGGCTTTTCAACCTTTTCACCCATTGTACCACTTTTACGATATGGCAACATCCGAGTACCAACAGTCGCCCAGCAAGGGGTCAAAAACTTGATGACCAAAAAAAAAAAAAAAGGAAAAAAGTGATAAAGTACAGGTAGTCCTCGACTTACAACAGTTCGCTTACTGACTGTTCGAAGTTACAGTGGCACTGAAAAAAGTGCCCCCCAAGACACAGCCGAGCAAGACACCTGCCTGCCCACCTGGTGGCGCTCTTCCTCCTGTCTGAGGTTTCCATTGTTGTGAGCATTTCTGTTGAGGATTGGCAGCGGGGGTGGGGTGGGGTGGGGGGTGTTTGGTTTTTATCTCCCCCCCCTGTCTGCTGAATGGTTGCAGCAGGTTTTGGTCACTTCACATGACCCTGGGACACTGTGACCATCATAAATATGAATCAGTTGCCAAGCATCTGAATGTAAATCACAAGACTCTGGGGATGCTGCAACATTCCAGCTGATTGGTGCTTCTTCAGGGCTCAGCAGAAGCGCCAGGATCAGTGCCGAGCTCCAGCTGGAGCCTGGCGCTGATCCTGGTGCTTCCGCTGAGCTCTGACAGCCCTGCAGCTCCAGCCATCTCTTGCTCAGGCTTGTGCGGTGCTGCCACCGGTTCAGCTCATTCCCCTCCCCCGCTACCACTTTTCTAGGATGGTCGCGTACCACCTGCCAGGTGCCAATGTACCACAGGTGGTACCCGTACCACTGGTTGAAAAGCCCTGGTCTAGAGCACTTGTGAATGATCTCGAGGCCTTTCCTTGTGCAGAGGGGAATTATTTCACAAACAGCTTGGCATTTCTTCCCAGAAGCCCCTGGTCATATGTTTTCAAAGAGGTCTAGTGCTTCAATCATGTATTAATAAGGAGTCCATATAAAGCCTGTCTTGCACTTCAGAAAGTGCCAGTCAGTTGTTACACAGGCAGTTCTGTGAAGAAGCCAGGTACCATGTTAGTTCAACTTCACAAAGCAAAATAGCAATGGAGGACAATGCTGAGTGACTGAAGGGCAGGTGCTATGTATGCTGCAGCCAATAAGAGCTGGGTGTAAATCCAGTGTGCAGCAAAACATATTGGAATAAGATGGGAATACCACTTTATATCAGAATAGCTAAATACAAACTTAGGCAGCCTAAGTTATGGTGTAGGAATAAAAGACATAATTATATGGATAATTCCTCAAATGATTGTTAAGAAGGCATCTCCCATTAGGAAGATGTAGATAAGCACTGAGAAAAATACCTAGCATTTCACACACACACACACACACACACACACACTGATTAGAATCTCAGTTGTATTGACACAGTACTTCTTAAAGCTTTGTTTCAAGACTCATCCCTCTTTATGCTATTATTATATCTGTTGCTATTATAACTATGCTATTATTATTATATCTTTATTTTTATATCTGCTGAAATTTTTCAGAGCATTCACATGAATTTTTGTTTTTGTGTTGTTATGTGTGCTACTTTGCTGTATGCATTAATATTCTTAATACTGCATGTTCTAAACCACTTCCTGTGTTTCACCCAAAGTTCAGAAATTTAATATGAATTCAGATCTGTCATTTTGTAATTTGTAATAAATATGCCATGGAAATTAACAGAGATCACTTATAAAATGACCCTGTATTGATAAATCTATTCTTACATTGATGTCAAACAAATGGACAACCATTTGTCTGAAATGGTATAGGGTTTCCTGCTTGAGCAGGGGGTTGGACTACGTGACCGCCACGGTCCCTTCCAACATTATTATTATTGTTATTGTTATTATATCATCATATTACATAATGCTACATTATATAATTATTATAAATATTGGTTTGCAGGTTAAGAGAGGAGATAGTCATCTTTATAAATATGCTTCTTTATGTTGCCCTTGAAAAAACAGGTTTGCTTTAACTTAATTACTATAAGATGTTGCATCAACTATTGATGTGGAAATTGTGCATCAATGAAAAAAATAACAGTCAGCTGTTTTACCTCTTTTGTAAACCTACATGGATCTTTTAAACCAGGGGTGTCAAATTCGCAACGTCACGTGGCGTGTTGTGATGTATCACGACTTTTTTTTCCATTGCCAGCAATGGGGTGGCCACGGTTTCATCATGACACATCTGGCCTGCGAGCCGGCAGTTTGACATCCCTATTCTAAACTGTTACATAGTAACTCTGTACAGTTACTTTAGAGAATTGTTGATGTCACCTGGAGGCTTATCTGTGTTGTCAGGATCACCTGAGTAGTGGAAATAGGTGTGGAGCCTACTTGGAACTGTTGAAAGGACTGTATTGTAGACTGGAGATAGATGATGTCATATCCCTCCCCCTCTTTTGAGAGGGCTGTAATTTTTTTGAACAGAGAGGACTGCTGGTTTGAAACGGGTCAAAGAGGCCATCTATTTCAAAATTGAACAGCCCTCTCTCAACAGAGGGGGAGGGATACAACATCATCTATCTTCAGTCTACAACACAGTCCTTTCAACAGTTCCAAGAAGGTTCCCCACCCATTTGCACTACTCAGATGACCCTGACAGCACAGATAAGTCTCCAATTAGCATCAACGACTTGCTAAAAGAATGCAAATGACCAGCTGTCTGCAAGGAGTATAAATCCTTCCATTCCCCACCATCTAGTCAGCTTCCTGGCAAGAGAAGCAAAAGTTCTTCAAAGAGAAAAAAAGAAGTCCAGTTGCCTTGTGAAAAAGCACTTTTGGGGCCACACTTTATGACAATCAGAAATGCTTTATGGACTGTAAAGCATCTGTCCCATTACACAACGGTCTTAAATTGAGGATTACCTATAACAGTGTTTCATATGCTTGCAGATAATTACTATTTTGCTAAATGGTGACGATATAGCTCATTTGAGATAAATCGGAAGTCTCCAATATGCTGGCCTACATGGCTAATAACAGCAAAAGGTTATTGTGTGTGTCTCATCATCCTAGGAAGCATTTCATGAAGATTATACAAATGTCTGTATTAATGAATTAAACTTTTTCTTCCAGAGAATGAAGGTGAATGTCCATCTCATTTGATAGTGTTGTGTCAAGGCAGGATTTTTGAATTCAATAGTTTACATGATGGTCATACACTGAGCCCACCAGAGCTTTTTAGGTATGATTAGAATACCTTCTAAAAACAATCTGCTAGTCTATACAAATTTGACATTAATTATATTTATACTGATATTCCAAATATGCTCTATAGAAGAAGTAGTCAATGAAGATTGAGGGAATTTAAGGGTTTCTGTAAAAAACCTAAGAGAGCGATGCTGCATATTCAGTTTTGAATTAATCTTTATCAGATAATATTTTAAATTGCTTCTATGTATACTTAAGTATAGTTTATATATATATTTTACTCATTTTGTGATAAATAACAGATTGCATTTTTACTAAATGACTGTAATTCAGTGTTTTCTTTTTAGGTCTTCTTATCTTAATCTTATCTGTAGTACTTCTGATATTTGATAAATAACTTACAGAAATTGTGAATGTTTAGTTAATAAGGACCTGGAAACTTGGTTTATTTTCAATCTTCATTACTTGAAATGCTGGCTTAACAAAAAAAACCAAAAAGATTTGTCTTGCATGATAGTTTGCATTGGAAGTGCTAAGTATTTTTGACTTACATTATTTGCAGACAACTTTCCTACATTAAGAAGAAATGTGAGAACGAACCGGAAGGGCCAGGATTGGCTGCCTTAACATCTGAAGACAGAATCTCATGGGCAAAGGTGTGGATTTTTTTAAAAAGACATTTAGTGCAGATTGATATGTTTTATTTTAATAATTGTTTTTTTTCCTTTTAGACACGTGATTATCTTATCAGACTTCATCCAAAGAACCTTTCTCTGTTGGAAACAATACAGAGTAGCTTATTTGTAATATGTCTAGATGATTCAAAGCCTCAAGCTACACCTGAAGATTATACAGAGGTATTTAAAGAATTGAAGTTGACGCCAGCCTTACTAGTCTGCTCAGTTTTAAGAAAATAATTATATTTAACTGACCCTAATTAGCATTGTTATATTATAAAGCAAAAGGATTTGGAGTTATCGAACAGCATATCTAATTACAGCTAATTACAGGCCAGGCCTAGCCTACTCTCCACCCCATCTTACCCAGGAAGCCTTGGCTAGTTATAGGACTCAACATCCACTTGAACTATCATGAGAATAGTGCCTGCTTGCTGAATGGCTTGAGGCAGTCTTGGTAGGAAGGTCACGCTTTGCATAGGGTGGGCAGGCCTATCAGAAGCTGCAGAAAAACTGCAAAGTAAGTGGGGTCACTGTGTACGTGCTTGTCAGCCCTGTAACCAACCATGGCCTTCTGGGCCTAGTGCAGGGGAAAACAGTCCCAAGCTTCCCAATCTGCAGCAGTTTCTGCACACCAGTGGGCCTTGTAGCTGACCGAGGCCTCGTGGACTGTGGTAGGTTTCCTATGCTGATGGGCTCTGTAATATGTGCCAAGCCACCCAGCACCTCCCTCATCTGCATTGCACCCCCACACTCCTTACCTCAGTCTTCATCTGCTTAAGGACACACAAGATTGCTTAACAACCACAACTTGAATGTAATCATTGAGGAAAATGTCATGTGATATCTCACTTCATGCTCGCTTTGCTCAACAATTGAGATTCTGGTCCCAGTTGTAATCATAAGCCAAAGATTACTAGGAATTGCAGTTGCCTTCTATAAGTTTTTTTTTTTTTTTTACTTCCCAGACTTGCCTATAACCTGGTATTTCCAAGTGGTCTCCCATCTAATCATCAGTTCCAACCCTACTTTGGTTTTTCATATTAGTCAAAATAATTTGAGTGCTATCTCCCTGATGGTTATATGGGAAACTATATAGGGAAAGCCATGGTATACCAAAAAGCTTTTCCAAGGAACTAAGTCCATCTGCACAATCATTTTGGTGGGTTATTAATATTTTGTTATTAAACTAGCAATGCATATCATTCCAGAAATCCAAGTGGTTCTTGTTTTCTGAATTTTCTAGCATTAGACAGCTTGACATCTGTTTAAAATCTATTGACATCTATTGACTCCGTCCCTTTTAAACATGGATAAGAGTGCAGTTTTATATTAGGCTTGTATCGGTAATTTACTAAGGGCAGCATAATAAATATGGGTGAAGCCTGAGCAGTTTGGGGGATAGATTTTGGAAGTTTTGAAAATTAAAATATGTGCCTACAAAGTTTGTTTATTCATTTTCCTCTTGGGAATTTTCTAAACTACTCCCCTCTCAGTATTCTAAACGGTCTTTTTTGGCATTAAGAGGGTACTGTTGGCTGGTAGGCTGCAATGTTGCACTCCTGGTTGGTATCTATAGACAGCAATTTTAAAAGTGATGATCAAATTGAGGATGCTGTAGGACAGTGATGGCGAACCTTTTAGAGACCGAGAGCCCAAAACTGCCCCACCCCGCTCCATCCCTGCCCCGCCCCCACCCACTTGCAGGGCCACCCACCACCTCCACGGTCTGCCGCAGATCGCCCAGGTGGCCCAGCTGCGCCATGGTGGCCACGCCCTCCACCTGTGCCCCACAGCATCATCTGTTTGTGACGGCGTAAGGGCAGAGTCTTGTCCCCACTGCCCGGCTGCCATGTCCTTGGCTGCGCTGCTCCAGGCAGGCTGTACCTGGGGGCGACTCTCCTACGGGGGGCTGGTGTGGAGGGGGCAGCGAGGGGAGGTGGGGCTGGGGCGACGGCACGTGTGTCCACAAAGAGGGCTCTGAGTGCCGCCTTGCACTCATGCTATAGGTTCGCCATCACTCTTGTAGGAGATAGTATTGGAGGTGAGGAACCCAACAGTAGATGGAGATCTTGTTCTCACACTGCACTCCCTGCAGTGATGTCAGAACACATAAGAAGTAGGGTATCCCAGTGAGCATTTTTCAGTCTTTGAATGACAAATGTGACAATTTTTTTCTTTCAAAACTAATTATGCTAATTCTTGATTTAGATAACCAGATTGGCACTTGCTGGGAACCCAACATTACGGTGGGGAGACAAATCCTATAACTTAATTGCCTTCTCAAATGGTTGTTTTGCAACCAACTGTGATGTGAGTTTGTACTTTTTGCATTTCTCATTTTTTTGTCTTGTGTTTATATAGAAACATTACAACCATTTTAAAGAAATATCTGTTTGTTTTAATGTATTTATAATGTATTTATAAATCACATCTTAAAAAGAATTTGTTCACTTTGTTTCTGTGCTACAATTTCATTTATTAGATAAAAAATATCATTGACATAATAAAATTATGAACAATCCTTCTGAAAAAGACCATTGAAAACAGATGGGAGACATGTGACATGCCATTGGATTACAATTCCTAACAGCCCCACTCAATTTGACCAACAGTTATTATAGATTATCTATGGTTGTAATAGAAAAAAAATGTGATGTTGATTCAAATCATTTATTGCTCCATGGAGTAATGTTTATTTTATACATATCTTCCAGCATGCTCCTTTTGACGCCATGGTTTTAATAGCCACCTGTTCTTATGTTGATTCTAAGATTATTGAAACAGAAGGGAAATGGAAGGTATGCTGTTAATTGTTAGTTCCATCCTTTTCCAGTTGATTAAAACCTCCGTCCTGTGTCAGATAAATTGAATGGTTCTCTCCTTATTTCATACAAAACAGGGATCGGACAAAGTACGCAATATCCCTTGGCCAGAGGAGCTTGTGTTTAATTTGGATCAGAAGGTGCTAAATGGTATTGCTTGTGCAAAGGAGCAATATTACAAGCAGGTATGTATATGAATTTTCGGAAGTCATATATTTATGCTTGATGTTAGTGCATTCCCTCGGTTTCCATTATGTGAAGTGAGTGAGGATGAAGCAAAAGAGAAATCTTTTTACGCACGGCTGGTGACTTGTTAATTTGGTTTGCCATCTGCCTGTACTGCAGCCCAGATCCGTCCTGAGAGATTTTGTATCAGTTCCTCAAATATAGGACATGGAATAAGAACTATACTTTTTTTCATACTTCCAGGCAATAAGTATGATTTAGAATAACAGTTTGCATTCTTATAAGCCAGAGGTTTCTATCAATAGTATGGTAATAATCACCACTCAGAATTTCTAAAGTCTTGATTCTCAAATCTTTGCTAGATATTGTCAGTTCCGTGTCATTCAAAATATAAATTTTCCCTCCGTTGGTTCTCTGAAATTTCATTATTTTTCTCTTCTCAGACATCTGACTTAGAGCTTGTGAATTATGCTTTTACAACTTTTGGGAAAGCACTGATTAGGAAACACCACCTTCATCCTGATACATTTGTTCAGATTGCCCTCCAATTAACTTATTACAGATGTCATGGACAGTAAGAATATTTTTTAAACATGTATTTTTTGTTAATTTTATTAAATACATATGGAGTATAATTTATCGGGCCTTTTTGCAAGTTTACAAATAGATGAAAATTATTTTCTCATCTGTATGCACACTTTACATGTTCTTTAGAATTATCAAATAAATACCCTTTATACGTTTCTTCCTTTCTCCTTTATTTTTATATTTTTTTGCCAGCAATACAAACTTAATCCAAAAATCTAATTTGTTCATTTCTTATCTTTTTGCTGTTCCTACATGCACTGTTCTTCATGTTTGTATCCATTTATCTAATACTGTTTGTATTTTATTATATCATATCATCAATTTTCTTTTTTTAAAAAACAAAGGTATCTTGTGTAGGCCAGATGAAATAAATCATTTTTTAAAGTAAGGTTCAAAAAGTAGAGTGGAACTACTTTGTTTCACATACTTTTTTGTTAAAAAAAATTGCTATATCAACAAACAACTGGGCTTTTACATTTCTATTCTTTGAGCAGTTAAAAGAGTTAAGTGATAGATCTACCATTTGTTTTCTAGCCCTGGTAGCTGTTATGAAACTGCAGCAACCAGACAATTTTATCATGGCCGGACAGAAACTATGAGACCATGCACCATTGAAGCAATTGAATGGTGTAAATCCATGCTAGACCCTACAGTCACTGTGAGTATTGTAGTTAAAGAGACTTTAAAAATTTGTGACCTTATTTTGTATTCAGTACTAAGATCTATATAACCCCCCAAATTCTTTACTCATGTATTTAATAGAAGGTCAAAATCTAGTGGAGATAAATGCCATCTTACCTTGATAATGATATATCATTTCATCAGCTGAATTCATAGTTCTCAGCATGGGAGAAAGTTCAGATACTAAAGGAATCATGTTCAGTATGAAATAAAACTTGCACTTTGAAATAAGAAATAATCTCATCCTCATGGATATTTTAATTCCTTTTTAAAATACAGTTATGTTTTACCATGTTATTTTTGATAACTAGATTTTTTTACTTGGAGGAAATAACGTATTTGCATTAAATTTTTTGATTCATGTTGATTGTGCACATGCACATTATTTACATTATGCTTGGCAAAAAGCAGCTGCTTCCCCTATGTTGGCTCAGGAATTCTGGGAGTTGAAGTCCACGAGTCATAAAAAAACCAAGGTTGCCTAACCCTGTTCTAGATCATCCTTCACATTTCAAGAGCAGTTTTCCCTAATCTTGTGGGGCTTCAATTCCCAGCAAGAAACGCCTAGTAGCAGGTGGTAGTTATTCAACTGAACTCAGACACCTCTTTCCTATCTTCTATGGCAAACAAATAGAAGAGAGTCTGATAGATAATAATTAAAGCATAGAAGGACCCAAATGGCAGCTGATTCATCTTGGCATTTTTTCCTACTGTCTTTTGCTATTTTCTGAAGAAATGTTTAGATATAAGCAATTTGGGTGGAATAACTTTGTTTTTCTTGTGTTCTGCAGCAAGGCCAAAGAAAACACCTTATGTTAAAAGCATTTGCAAGACATAATAAACTGATGAAAGAATGTGAGAATGGAAGAGGTACATTTTTTTAATCCCGCAGAAGCAAAGAGATGCATCCTACAATATCAAAATACCAAACTGACCTTTCATGTAATAGGAGAGAAATTTTTAAGTCTACCTCTTGAGAGTAATAGTATTGTTTAATTTTAATTATATTTAAATGACAAATAAAAGTTTTTTTTTCCCAACCCAACCTCCTTCTCTAAAAGTATGGCCATATGTAAGTCTTGATCTAGAAGTAGTTGTGCACCCTGGCATTAATATCTTTTTTCTTCATAAGCTGTGATTTGTTTTCTTACCTCTCCAGCTCTAATTATAAAAGTGCTAAGTAGGATCATAGATCTAATATACACTGTAAGCTCTCAGTTGGCATCATTTTCCATTCAGCACAATTCTCAGACCATCCTTTCTACTGTTCTCAGAAGTTAAACAGGCTGAATGGAATAAACTGTCCAAGTCATTGAGTATTTTGTCATTAATTAATTTTATATTTCTCAAACAGGCTTTGATCGTCATCTCTTAGGCCTCCAGCTCCTGGCGAGAGAGCAAAGTCTTCCAATGCCAGAACTCTTCTTAGATCCTGCTTTCACTAGAAGGTATTGAAAAATATTAGACTTATCTTTGGAATTAAATCATTCTATACCAGTGGTGGCGAACCTATGGCACGCGTGCCAGAGGCGGCACACAGCCCTCTCTATGGGCACACGTGCCGTCGCCCCAGCCCCGCCTCCCCCCACAGTCCCCTTCTCACCAGCAGCCTCCCTGGAGGAGAGTCGCCCCTGGGCATGACCCACATGGAGCAGTGCAGCCAAGGACATGGTAGCCAGGCAGCAGGGATAAGACTCTGCCCTTGCGCCCCATCACGCGCTGATGATGCTACGGGGCGCAGGCAGAGGGTGTGGCCAACATGGCGCTGCAGGGCCGCCTGGGCGATCTGCGGCAGGCTGTGGAGGTGGTAGGTGGCCCTGCAGATGGACGGGACAGGGCAGAGCGGGCAGAGCGGGGGAGGGTAGGGCGGGTTTTGGGCACTTGGTATCTAAAAGGTTCGCCAACACTGTTCTATACCAACTGAACATAAGGTTTTACAGGTAGTCCTCAGTTAACAACAATTGGTACAAACAAGTATGTCATTAAGTGAAGCATTTGCTAAACAGTGGCTAAGCTTATGATCCTACTTCAGCGTTCCTGTGCTTCATAGACAAAGATTGTAAAAGATGGGATTGGGGTAAAGCTATTTTTTCCATCACCATTGTTACTGTGAACAATTTCTAAATGATGTTATCACTGAAAGTGACAACCCATATTGGAATTGAAAAGATAAATAGACAAGTAATTGTTTAGTGAAGGGACAAATGTTCATTGCTCAAGCAGCTTCCAGTGACTAAGGAATTGCTCTTCTTTTAAACTATTGTTGTGGAATAAGCAATTCACTTTTCCCATTAACAAGAGTGTTTCAGAAATCTTTATAATATCAGTTTGAGCACTGAACCCCATTCATTTATTTCAGTGAAGTTCTCTAATCTTAGCAGGGAAAGCAATTATATTTATTCACTCTGCTCCTGATCTTATTTTTATATGCCTTGTTTTGTTCTTTTAATTTGCAGTGGGGGAGGTGGAAATTTTGTTCTTTCAACTAGCCTGGTAGGGTACACAAGAATTGCAGGAGCTGTTGTTCCAATGGTAAAGCACGGTTATGGCATTATCTACAGAATTAGAGATGACAGGTAACAATACCATTAACATTATTCCAAGTAAAAAATTGAAACCTATTTTCTTTTGAGTTATGTGTCAGTGTGGGAGAGACAACTATTATATTATTTCACTAATGAAAACTTGATTTCACAGCTACACTTGTGGGCACTCTTAACTTTCTTCCATGTAATTTTAAATACGATTACTCTTTCTCCTGAAATATTTTATCAATTCTGTCAATGATGTGATCTACTCTACTTATGCCTTCATGTAACTCACTAACCTAAACTGGTTTATTCTGTTGTATGAATGTAGCAGAGTGATTAGTTCACTGGCTCATTATAGTATTGTGAATTCAGACAGTAGGGTTAATTCCATAAACCATAATTCATATGAATGGACCCATATTTTAGTTTAAAAACTCAGCTTTCTAACTAGGTTTATACATTCCATGGTGATAATTTCTTGTCTTTTTCTTTATATCTGCTGCTCACATTAAGAATAATATGCTGGTCAATATTTTAGGAGTATAATGGGATAGCTAAACTTTCTGTGAAATACTGGTGATAAGACAAAGTACTTCACTCTACAACATTTCAAAGCTTTTTTCTCTAATTTGAAGGTAATTATTTCTTCATGTTGTTGAAGTTCAATGTGAAACATATCTTGAAGAGATTCTTTCATTCCAATTTTGTAGCGTAAATTCACCTGCCCATGATTTGTAACATTGTGATTATTTAGGTGCCCAGTACTTTATATATAAACAACTGAAATGCTGTGCTGATTTTTTTTAATGGCATTTATCTAAACAGTTGTGTTCTATCTTTCCTCTGGTAGGATTGTTGTTGCCTGTAGTGCTTGGAAGTCATGTCCAGACACAGATGCTGAAAATTTTTGTAAGGAATTGTTCCAGATTTTTCAAGACATAATAAAATTGATGGCCACAGCCCAGATGTAGAAAAAGTATTAGAGTTACAGTGTCATTTTTTTTTATAATACCACATCTACTGAAAATTTGAATATTAAATCCTTACTTAAAAGGAATGATTGAAGTGGACATGGTATTTGAGTTATATATAAGCCAGGCATAAGTAATGCAAACTTCTACTACAGTAACAATGCAATTTTCTTTGAATAATCTGAATCAGCAAAGCAAAATATTAGAACTATGCAATAATAAATTAAATTTTTAAAATGAAAGATTTTTTTCTATAGAAAAAAGTTAAATTATGTAATCTTACTAGCAGTAAAGAATGCAAAATCATGTTCAAATGAATTCAATTAAGTTGCTTTTTTCAGAAGTACACCAGACTGGGGAAGCTTGCTTTGATTTACTACAGTGGAAATCTATATTTTGAGCAACCATTGCATCATGTATTCTTTCTATATGAAATGCATATCATGGTTTTTTTCTTGCCTTCAAAAGTAATCAAAGAGAGTATTAGAATGCTTATGAATTTATTTCAGGTAACATGGAGCTGTTCTCTTGTTTTATACAGTGGGATTGTTTAAATGCAGGTTTTCTCTATAAACTGGAAGAAGTGATCATTAAAGATACTGTATTTTCTTGCCATTTCAATGTATATCTCAGGACAACATGCATTCTTTGAATCAAATGAAAATGCAATTTATTCTTGAAATAAAGACATTCCAAAGAGCAAAAAATGTGAACATTATTCATCTAAGCTTACTTACATTGTTCCATTCTGATGGAAGGGCAGGTGTATTCTTAATTACTCTACCACACAAGATAGTTAACAAGCATCCAAATATTTTTGAAAGAATAAATACTGAAGAGTAGTATACGTTAAAATTCAGTTGATTTCAAACTGAAAGAGATCAGTACAGGCAGTCCTCTACTTATGAATGTATTGGAGCCTGCCCATTCCATTCATAACTTGAAAATTCATGGGAGTTAATCTCATACCTTGAACAAGATCACTCCCTGCTTTTGCCCATGCATTTGCTAATCGAATGACACACCGAGCTCACTTATTTTGAAATGATCCATCTCCTCTCTGCTGTGATTCCTGCTTTTGAGGGAGAGGAGACTCGGTGGAAGCTCCTGCATGCCATAATATCGCGCAGGTTCAGGCATTCATCCTCTTTTGCAGAGAATGGGTGCCTGAATTCTCGTGGTGCCTGTCTCCCCTCCCCCCTTGAGCCATGCGGCTGCCTCCAGCCTCCATTTGAATTGTGGAGGCCTGGATGATGCCTGCGACACACGGAACGGACCTCCGGAGGTCCATGGAAGCATCCCCAGCCTCCATTCTGGGCATCTGAGACCTGCACGAGGTCTCTGACACGCGGAATGGACCTCCAGAGACCTACGGAAGCCCCCCCCCCCATCCTCCATTCCAGACTTCAGAGGCCTCCTGCAGTTGAACATTCGCTATGTGATTACATGTGTAATGTTATCTAATTTAACTGATTCCTACAAATTGGCAATCCTTAACTTTGCATACTGGCGTGCATTCTAGCTCCCTTTTCATCTTCCCCTGTTGAGGGGTGAATTGTGGTTTGGTATAAACCAGTGGTGGCGAACTTATGGCACGGGTGCCAGAGGCGGCACTCAGAGCCCTCTCTGTGGGCACGCAAACCGTCGCCCCAGTCCTAGGCCTTCAGCTGGGTTTTATAAAACCTTTTCACCTTAGGCCTCCGCTGCCGTGTGCAAAAAAAAAAGGTTCAATCAATCAGTCAATCTCAACTTCCTGTGGGAAAAAAAAAGATCTTGCAAAGTTGGAATTGAGTGATTGAACTTTTTAGTCCCACCCAGTCTGACGTTACCACCACAGCCACACCCAGCCAATGGGCCACACCCACCCGGCACCCAACGATGCATAAGTGGGTTTTGGGTTGCAGTTTGGGCACTCGGTCTTTAAAAGGTTCGCCATCACTGGTATAAGCTGTTAAAAGGAGGCCAAGGTATGCTGCTTTTTTTAGTACATGTCAATTTTAGTTGCAGGTCTGTTTATTTTTGCACTGGGCTTATCTGGTTTTGACAGTCTTGAAGAGTCACCAGTATATAATGCAGTAAACGTTTATTATTATATTTGAATTGTTGCAGTGCCAGTTGGTAAAAAAAAAAAAGGTGAGAGGCCCAGCTGGTTTCCATGCCTAGGGAGAACCAGACCCTGGGTCACCTCACTCTGAGTCCAACACCCTTACCATTATACCATGCTGACTTCCAACTAAAGGCAGTTTGTGTATCTTCAATTATACTGGGTTTTCATTTCTAAAGACAAGAATTCTTCCTCACTTACAACATTCATACGATTAAAGCAGAAATTATAAAAATCCAGGATTCTTTCTAAAGAGCTGTAGTGTCACTCAGCCTTGTCCTCACAGAAAAAAAAATGGAGGAAGAACTGTTATGCATTTTAATTCCAGAAGAAAGACAGCATATAAATCTAATAAAAATCATTTATGATTTTGCCTTGTAGCAGAAGGGAAATCAAGGCAATGTATATTCTTGGATTTTATTTTTTATAAAAGAGGCAGATCTATATTGCATCTGTTTTTGAGATGACAAAAGAGTGTGCAGATGTGCAGATGTTTGTGTAATTCTATAAGACAACATTTAGCTAATTTTGTGGAAGACAATCATCTATGTACAGTAGTGTGTTGAAATAACTTTAGAAGATGCAGGTGGTAACTGTAAATAAATCCTAGTGTTTGTAGCCTTCTAGATTGTTATTTATTTTTTAATCTTAAATTTACTTAATTGCTTGATGTTAAACACACCCAGATTATGCAATCCTGTAAATTCATTACTTTGTAGGAACATTTTTAAAAGGTGCATGGTATAATATAATATGGAAACATTTTAGGAAAGGCAAATTGTTTGTCATTCTCTAATACATTGTACACGATGGAACAAAGTGTAAGACCCAGAAATGTTCTAAATTTAAGCATTACACAATAGTGATAGGCAATGAGAAACAGCTATGAGAACACTCTCCTTAAAATAGATTGTCTGGATCACAATGTAGTGGAACACATAGGATTTATCTTCACATCCAATTTCCACCCAGAGTTTTTACTAAATTTTGTGGAAATTTTAATTCATTAGGCTTTGTCCTAATGTCACTTGTACCTAATCATATTTAAAAGGAGATATTATGACAATGAAAAGACCAGTATGTGGACAATTAATGGCACTTTTCTTTCACAAGCCATGATCATTATTACTGGGTTTAACTATAATACCTGTTAACCATCAGAAACTGGTGTAGTTATACAGAATTCGGAACGAATTCTAGACCCAGATTCACCATGGCAGTGCAAGTTCAGTGTGATAATAGAACATTTTATCTCCAATATGGAGCATGTTATAGGTAGTCCTCGACTTACAACAGTTCATTTAGTGACTGCTCAAAGTTACAACGGCACTGAAAAAAGTGACTTATGATCTTTTCACATTTATGACTGTTGCAGCATCCCAGGGTCACATGATCAAAATTCAGATACTTGGCAAGTGATTCATATTTATGATGGTTGTGGTGTCTTGGGATCATGTGATCATCTTTTGTGACCTGACAAGCAGAGTCAATGGGGAAGCCAGATTCACCTAATAACCATGTTACTAACTTAACCAGTGATTCACTTAATAGCTGTGACAAAAAAGTTGTAAAATCGGGCAAAACTCACTTAACAGCTTATTAACTGACTTAGCAATTTTGGGCTCAATTGTGGTTTTAAGTCAAGGACTAGCTGTACTTTTCTAAAATTTATAATGGACAAATTGGCTATTCTGGAAACGAAACAAAACAAAACCACGACCCAAATCTGACACCAAAGAACAATGGGGAAACTTTTCAACACTATCATAATCTCAATATGACTATCCTTTAGAAGTGAAATTATAAAAACTATTAAATGGCTCAGCTAGAATTCATTAAAAAGCTTGTCATTAGCACACTTAACAATATTTATTGCAAATTAAACTGAAACCAAGATTTCTTATCCTACTGAACAGAAGAACCTCATAAATGCAAAATCGTGCTTCATCCAAAACGTTTTGTTAATAATGAATTATTCTGTAATTGTCACTATGTTCGACCTGTTATTTAGTATTCTATACTCATTTATTAAACTATTGCTTCTTTTACCAGCAATAATCATTGCGTGTGTATATTATAGTATTATTCTCTCAGAATTATGTTCCACACATCTTTGATAAAATAGACAGCGATCACAAAAGCTTATGCTATTACAAATGTTTGAGACTTTAAGTATCAAAAGTCTGTTATTGGAATGAGGAGTCTAAAAAACTGGTCGAAACAAGTTATGTATTAAGATAGAAAATGTAAAGCACAATCAATGTCATAATGATTAAAATGAAATTGTTACAGATTAAGTTTTAGGCCAGACATTAAAATTAATAACATAGTTTTGAAAGTACCATGAGCTACTTAGAGATAAAGGGTTTAAGGAAATTCTATATTCCATATTTCTGGATCATTTCATTTGCTTTAGAAATATAGGCTTTCATAGCATCTTCTTTTGATATACCTGGAATGGAAAATTAGCAGTTACTATGGTGCCTTACTTTTTATCACTGGAAACAAAACCCCTATTATTGAAAGTAAAACTAACCTTTCTTCAGATTCCAAGCTTCCCATTTGGCTCTGCCTTTCAAATCTAACATCCCAGGGCACTCTGTTGAAAGAGAAAATATAACCGTAAACATTATGTGTGTTCTTGAAAAGAGCTCTCATACTCAATTTCTCCTAAATATTCATTAAAGTACCAGTGTTGATGTCTCCTACAGTAGCCTGTTTGTAGAGTCCATACAGTTCCTTTAATTCATCATCGGTGGGCTTGGACTTTAATTTTTTAACATTTTCTGCCACAGTCTCAAAGTCAGCCTGATGAGAAAACAAAACAAGACAACCATTAAAGAAATATAATTGTTTCATGTATCAATGTGATCTGTTTATTTCTACAAGTTTTATTGAATGCTTGATTTCTGATTCTAGATGTATGGTAAAATATTCCTGTTTTTCTAGCTGTGTGATAGCTCATACCCTATATTATTATTTTTTTCTTTTTTTGCTAGTGTAAGAATTCCCTCCAGCCTTTGAGCTAGAGGCCATGCATACAAAACAGGTTTGTACGTGTGGAGAATTGCTGTTAAAGGACAAAGAAACTTTCATTACTGAACAGCAACAAAGAGCAAGCTCTAAGTTTGGGATAACAATTCAACATTCATTTATTAGTTGAGTTTATAATTCGACTTTTCTTTGCCTTGATTTAATCAAGATTGAGAGCCAGTTTGGTCCAGTAGTTAAGGCACCAGGCTAGAATCTAGGGTAGAAAGCAAGAGACCATCAATTCAAAGTCCTGCTTTAGCCATGAAAGCCAGCTGGGTGACTTGGACCAGTCACTCTCAGCCCAACTCACAGGGTTGTTGTTGGGGAAAATAGGATGAAAGTGTGTTGGATATATTACTGCCTTGAGTTATTTGTAAAAATAATAAAAGCAGGATACAAACAAATAAAATTGAGAAAATACTTTTAAATATTATTTACAATTCTGTTAAAAATAACCTGGTTCTATTTCATAAAACACAAATTTTAAATGATATTGCATATCACAACTCCGTTATGCAAAAGAGCATTAAAACACGCAATCTTTCCCCAGATATTCCACTGTT